CCCCCGACTCCTCACTCGTCCCTCACCTGCAGAGCATCTTCTCCAAGGATTTTTGGGATGCTGGAGCCTGCTGGGAGCTGCCCAAGCTTTCCCGGAGAGCAAAGCCACGGTCGTGCTGTTGTGTGAGCTGGTGGGGGGATTTTGGGGGTCCTGCAGCAAAATCACAGCCCTCCAAAGCACTGTCTGTGCTGGGGGTGAGTGGAGCCCTGTGTCCCTCCACTTACAGCCTTTACATCTGGTGGGGCAGGACTCAAAAAGGGGAAAAAAAGCCCTTTTAGGGACTCTTGGGTGAGGGGAGCAGCAGTTGGAACCCATTTAGTGCCATAGGAGCTAAATCATAATTATATTGAGCTGGATTGTTTCAGACAGTCAGATAACTGCTGGAGTTGTCTCTTACCTGTTTATATCTTGATTTAAATTATATTTTCACCACCTATTTTATTTTAATGTGTTTTTTTTTATAAAACAAGCTCAGTTCCTGTTCCACAGCCCCAGCAAGTGATGCTGCTCATTATCCAGGGCAGCTCCAGGGGCTGCTATTCACAGGAGCCCCTTACAATGCAAAAACCTGGAGCACCTGGAATAGGAGCAGTGGCAATGCCATTGCTTATACTAAATTTAAATTTAGAAATAATCTTCTTTTCTATAGCATAGACCCTTTATGAGGCTTCTGTGCCATTATAAAGCATTGCAGCAATCTGTGTTTTTCCTGGAAACAGCCACGTTTTGTCCCATCCACTTAGAGCTTCCCCAAAGGCCTGGGATAAAACATCTCACCTGGGCAAGGTCGTGGGGACGCCTCACTGCAGTTTGCTCCTTAATAGTGCTCTGCTGGGAAGGTGTGGGAATTCATTTCCCAACAAATGCCTCCCGTGCTCCTCCAAAATGCCAATGGCCTGAAATGTGTTGTTTCTGGTTTAGTGTAACAGCTTGTTCTTTGCCTATTTCTTCTTAAAAGGCTTTTTTTGCTTAATGGGAGAAGGAAAGAGATCGAGTTAAGAGCCAAATGGGATATTTTTAAACATAAAAAACCTGTAAATAGATGATAGAGGGTTAAATTGGATTTAAGTGTAGAGGGAGTAAAGCTGCCTAAATTGGCTTTGAATATATGGGCTCATCTGTAGGATGGAGAGTATTTCCATTATCTCTGCACACTCCTTGTGCCTGGGGAGCCCCAGTCCCATTATCCCCCTGGGAAATGAATAGGCTTTGTTGGGTGATAAATCTGGGGATCCATCCACTGTTTTGGCTGCACCCATGTGGGAAATTATTCCCTAATTCCCTCCCCAGGGTTTAGCAGGTGCCCGGCGTGGCGATGCTGCCGCGACTGGCATTAAGCCAGCGGTGTGAATTAAGGTCTCATGACCTTTCCTTTTCCTTTTCCTTTCCTTTCCCACCTTCCTGTGGCTCTGCTGCTGGAACCCAGGGACGTGGAGGACACGAGGGGTGTTCCCTGAGGAGAAGCTGCTGAAGGTGCCCAGTGACATCCCCGTGCTCTGCGCGGCCACTCTGAGTGTCAACCCCTGCACAGCGCTACGGATGTTGACTGACTTTGAGACCCTGGCACCTGGTAAGCCTTCTGCCAAGCAGAAGGAATTCTGGGGGGATTTTCCAGCCTCTTCTGCGATGAAAATTGGGATTTGTTCCCATCCAGGTGACTCCGTCATCCAGAACGCTGCCAACAGCGGGGTGGGCCAGGCCGTCATCCAGATCGCCAGAGCCTCCGGCGTCAAAACCATCAACGTGGTGAGGGACAGGTGGGTCCCCTGGGCAGGAAAAGTTGGGCTGGGTGGTGGTTTGGGCACAGGCCTGGGGACAGAAACCAGCGCTGGAGGGTCCTGCTCCAGAGTCCTTTGAACTTTTGGAGAGGGAAGATGAGCGGAGAAAGTTAACCCTCAGCTGGAGGTTTTCGGAGCTGGAGCTGGTCATCCTGCCCCTTCCACCCGTCCTGCCCATCTCCTCTTTGCTCCTCCGAGGTGTCCTCCAGCCTCTGCCCCGTTGTCCCCAAGTGACAGAGGAATGAGCAGGAGGAAGGAGAAGGTGACACTCTGCCTCCTGGTTCATCAGGTCCTCTTTTTTTCCCTTCCTTTTTCCCTCCCCCAGACCTGATCTCCCACAGCTGGTGGAGAGGCTGATGGCCCTGGGTGCAGACCACGTTGTCACAGAGGAGATGCTGAGAAAGCCAGAGATGAAAGAGATATTTAAGGTACCTCAATGCTGATCCCAATGGAGAGAGATGGTCCAGGGCCATCACTGCGTTCAGCACTGCAGGGAAAGCTGCAGGGATGGTGGGAAGGACAAATTTCCCTCTAGATCAGGATTTAGCCCCAGAAGTTGAGGAATTTTGCTGCTTCCACAAGGGCAGGATCATAGATTTTAGGTCTGATTGGACAGGGCTTGGAGCAATCAAGTGGAAGGTGTCCCTGCCCATGGCAGGGGAATTGAACTGGAGGGGCTTTAGAGTCCCTTCAGACCCAAACCATTCCTTGATTCTGTGATAGATTTTAACTCCACAGCTCTCAGCTGCCCCTCAGTAACTGTTGAGGTTAGGGCAGTTGCTCCCTCAAGAACCATGGTCCCACCCTAAAAAAGGAGCCCTAAAATTTGGGATCTTTTTTCCTAAACTCTTGCAGAGCACCCCCAAGCCCCGGCTCGCCCTGAACTGCGTCGGAGGCAAAAGCACCACGGAGATGCTGCGGCACCTGCAGTAAGTTTGGCTTGGGGACAGAAACCTGCACCAGAGGGTCCTACTCCAGAGTCTGTAGGACTTTCATAGAGGGAAGATGAGTGGAAAAGTGGTTTTGCATGACAACAGTGATGTAAAGTTAACCCGTCATCGCTGCGTGTCTCACGCCGCCGGTAGCTGGGAGCAGCTGAGGTCCAGTTATGAAGGTCCCCCACGTCCTGGCTGGGTACAACTGGTGCACTGAGCTTCAAATTCAGCTATTGGTGCGTGGAAGCAAGAGGAGAGCCTGGAAAGTGGGGTCTGAGGGGTAACTGGGGGAGCCCTTGGTGCGAGGACAGCCCTGGGGTGCAGCAGTGGGGTTGGGGACGGCAGAGGGGGAGGTGGGAACGGCAGAGCTGCACTTTGGGGGCCACATAACCCAGTCTGTTCCTGCTGCAGGCCCAAAGGGACCATGGTCACCTATGGGGGGATGGTAAAGCAGCCTGTGATGGTGCCTGTGGTGAGTACTGGAGATGCTCTTCATTTCCCTGGGGGCACATCCACTGCGATGTCCCCTTGTCCCCTCGGCTCCTGCTCGACGCTGTGGGAGCTCAACTCACCCTGATCGAGACTGAGAGCCTCCAGCCTTCTTTTTATTTAACTCATGGGCTCCTGGAGGGCCAAATTGCCTTGAATCCCACTGCTGGTCTCATGGCTTTATTCAGGGTGTGTTTGGGCTGCTGTGAATTCCCAGTGGGGAAACGGCCCCACGGATGCCGAGGATCAAACCCACCCTGACTCCACACTGGAGTCCCATCTCCACATCCCACTGCGCCCTGAGTCACAAATGGGAGCACTAACGAGGGGGTGAGGGGCCTCACTGCCACCTCCCACTGCTGTCAGGATGGGAGGCAACACAGGGGTGTCACTGGGTGTGGGGGACACACACGGGTGTCACTGCATGTGTGGGAGGACACAGGGTGCACAAGGGGCAGGTGGGTCTCACTGGGTGCGTGAGGGGGCACAGGGCTGTCCCTGGGTGTGTGTGGGGACCCACAGGTGTCCCTGGGTGTGTGAGGGGACCCAGGGGTGTCACTGGGTGCACATTCCCTCTCCACAGAGTGCCTTCATCTTCCGGGACGTGCGGCTCCGCGGGTTCTGGATGACCCAGTGGCGGAAGGACCACGCGCAGGGTGAGCCGGGGTGGGGGGCTGAGGGTGGGCACGGGAGCGGCTCCCAAACCACCCCACTGGCACCGTGTTCCTCACTCTCACTCGTGTCACGAGTGCTGCTCATCCCCAGGGCACTGAAGCACCTGGCTTGGGCAGGGACTGTGCCCTGTCACCACCCCAGGGCCTCTTCCCTCATCCCACATGCCCGAGCTGGGGGCACATCACGCCCAGGCCCCTGTATGGCTTTGAGTGGGTGTTTCCCAGGATGGTGCTGGCACAGCACAGTGACAGCTCCCTCCTTCCCTCCCCGTGCAGACCAGGAGAGCGTGGCTGGGATGATGGACACCCTGTGCCAGCTGATCCAGAGGGGACAGCTCACCGCGCCCGCCAGCACCGAGGTCCCGCTCCAGGACTACAGGGCAGCCCTGGAGGCCTCCATGAAGCCCTTTGTGTCCTCCAAGCAGATCCTCCTCTTCTGACCCGCAGCTCCTGGAGCCCTGTCGTGCTCCAGCACAGCCCCACTTCTTGTCCACAGACTTGGGGGGGGAAAAACCTCCAGATCCATGGATTTTCTTTTTTCCTTTGCTTTTTAACTTGTGGGTGGCCACTGAAAGCTCTCAAAGCCTCCACAGCTTTGTGTGGAAGTGCTGCTGGAGGGAGGCTGCATCTCACCTTACCTGGGGTGAGTTTGGGAGCCCAAACAGTGGCTCAGTCAGCTCAGGGTGTCAAAAGAGCAGCAGTTCCCCCTTATGTATATTTTTGGAGCTGAGGGAGCTGCACTGCTGCCTCCTGCACTGCTGTAGTTATCCCAGGTGGGATGGGCAGGAAAAGCCCAAGTTGCCTCCTTGCAGCCCCCCTGCCCCCAAGCTGGGGAAGGGGCACAGACTCCCCAAAGCACTGAGGTGTTGCTGTGGTTGGAGTGACCCTGGTGCTGCTGCAGCTCCTGGAGGAGCCCTGAGATCTGCTGGATTTTGTCAAGGGCACTGTGAGTGCTGGAGCCTTTGGCCCATCCCAGCTGGAGCCAGACCCTTGGCATCCCTGAAGGCCCCCCTGCCCGGGTGTGGGACAGTGACTGTGACACTGCAGAGGATGGACACAGCAAAATGAAACAATTTATTACCGAAAACAACCAACAGTGTGTTCCTGCTTCCTCCTGTCCTGCTGCATTTCTACCCCTGTGGCCCCACAGCTCCCTACAGCCTCTGCTCTTCCCAGTCCTGCCCCTGCTGAGGTCTGGCCCCTCTGTTCCCCCCACAGGAGCAGGTGGGGCAGTGGCTGTGGGCTGGAGCGTGGCTGGGTGGTGACCCCACACTGTCCATCCCAAACCCCGGAGCGCAGAGCGGAGCCAGCCCAGCCCCAGGCACCCACATGGCACCTGGATTTGGCTGCCCAGACGGGAGGGTGGGCACTGCCAGGGGCCTGTTTGGGGCAGGAGGGGTGAGCCTGGGCGGTGAAGCCGTGGCTGGAGCAGGAGCTGCCTCCTGGATGCCGGCGGGGCTGCGCCTGCGGGGCCGTTTTGGTGGGGAGGGTCTGGCACTGCCCAGCGGGGTGGGGGTGCCTGCCCCTGGCTCAGGGCTGGTGCTCGTGGATGTCTGGGTGTCATCATCCTCTTCTTCCTCCTCTGCCCCTGCTGCCAGCTGAACATCCCACCATCTTTTCCATGGGAGCTCTGCCTTCTTCCCGGTGGCCGGCGGGGACACGGCTGGGGGGATCAGGCTTTCCCCAGCACTCTCCACGCCCCTCCGATGGCAGGAGGGGTCATCCCTTGTGAAATGGGGGTTGGAGTAGAACAGGAGCTGCAAAAGGCAAAGGAGAGGAGTTGGTTGCCATCATTGCAAGGAGGGAGGAAGAGATCCGAGGGAGATCCCAAGGACAAAAGGGTGTTTAAAGGATTCCCTGGGGCATTTTAAACATCAGGTTTCATCCGAGTAAAGTGTTGAGACAGAGTTTTGTTAGGTCACAACCACCCTTGTGTTTTGGGCATTTGGCAGCAGAGAAGTGTAGGGTCTTCAAAGGCCAAAAAACCCCTGGAGAAACCCAAACCCCACAAGTTTTCAGGCGCCGCAGCGTGGAATGGACATGTTGGGAATAACACTGATGTGGAGACAAAACTGTTTGCTCCCATCCCTCCTCTGGCCTTGTCAAGGCTGATTTTATCCGAACGTGAACCTCCCCCAAAATGTCCTGAGGGATCTCTGTGTGGGGAGGAGCTGACCTACCTTGCCCAGCTCAGACCCAGCTGCTGCTACTGCTCTCAGCTCCTCCATGGAGGTCAGCAGGGGAGAGTCCCCTTCCATCCTGCGGAATCCATGGAACATGAGTTGGAGAAGGAAGCCTCTCATGGACTCTGTCTCAAAGATCTTCCTTGGCCCCCTCCTCCCCAGCACTTCCTTCCTGAAGAGCTTCTCTCCGATCACGATGCAGTTCCCGTCGTTGCCCCACCAGATGGACTCGAAGCTCTGGCTGCTGAGGATCTCCCAGAGCGTCTCCAGGAAGGAGTCATCCGAAGGTTTGGTGTTGACAGAGATCTTCAAGGGACAAAATTTCACCTTGGGGTCCCAGGGTTCATCTTGCCAATCCCGAAGGGCAATTTTGTCTGTGGGAGCATCCCAGGACAGTCCCGTGTCATCTCCTGGATGAGAAGCTTGAGCCACCCACCAGGCTGGCTCCTCTGGGCTGGGAGCACAGGATGTCTCTGGTGAAGACATCTCCAGTTTAACTTCTTTTTCCTCAGCTTGGCTGCCTCCAACCAGCCTGATGAAGTTCTGTGGTTCCAGCTGCCTGGGAAGTTCTCCAGCCTGTGTTCCATCACGGTGACATCACAGCGTGGTGCCCCTCTCCTGGCAGCAGGAGGTGGGAGACACAGAAGTAGCCCCAAAGACCTGATTTCCCAGGGAGCTGGTTGGAGCCCAGAGACGATCCCAGCTGTGTTTTCATGTGGAATGTCCTGCTAGGGCAGTGCTGTGTCCCTGTGCCCCAAGGAGCAGTGCCCAGGGAGGGGTGGGAAGGTGACAGTGTTGGACATCCAAGTGTCCCAGACACGAAGTTTTTCACTTGGGCACCTTCTCCCCTGTGCAGAAATGCCTGTGTGGAATTCCTATGGAATAACCCCTGCTCTGTGGTGTCCACACTGCTCCTTCTGCTGTGGTTTGTCCCCATATCCAGGCGATGCTCTCAGCTCTCTGTGCTGCTCTGTAGGATGAACCCAAACGCATCTTGCAATGGAAATAACCCCCACCCCTCCCTTGGTTGGGTTCCTTGGATTTTCTTTGCCACAGAACCTTCAGAGCCCAGCCCATGGACCTCACTGGGGTCCTCCCACCTTGTGTCGAGTTCCCAAGCTGCTCCTCCGAGTCAGAGGACCACGACTGTGGAATTGTTTGGGGGTGTGAAATTGTGAGGGACCACTCGTGTCAGCTGAAGGTTCTGAGTCTGTGGGGCCTGATGGGATTCATCCCAAAGTCCTGGATGAGGGGGGTTATGGCAGGGCCCCCCCTCCATCATCTGCCAAAGTCCTGAGGGTGTGGGGAGGTCCCTCCTGACGGGGAGCTGGGCACTGTCATTCCCATGTACAGGGAGAGGTGAAGGAAGACCCAGGAAGTTGTACCTTCATTTTAGGGAATTTTTTGGGTCCTGGGGGCAGGGACGTTGATCAAAGTTGGAGGGGACTCCTGTACAACTGTGTGTGCATTGGGAGGAGCAAACCACTCTGAAGTTAAACCCCACAGCTGTGTTGGACCTAAATGGATATATCAAAAAGCATTTTATCCTCCCTATAACCCCTCACACCCAAGACCTCCCTTAGAGCAGAGCAGACAGAGCAGCCCACCAGGTGTTCCCTGTGATAAACTCCATGCCAGCACCTCCCCTCTGCTCCCCCATTCCCAACAAACCCCCCAGTATTCCCAATAACCCCCCCAATATTTCGCATTTCCATTCTCCTCACCAGTACTGGAGGCAGAGGCACATCCCATGCCCCAGCCCTTCCTGATCAATGGATAAAATGGGGAAAATAAAGCACAAAAAGGACTTTGAAATTGTTATGAGGTCCATTAAACATGACATAAACCAGAAAAATTAATGCAAGGTTTTTATCCCCCTTGTTTATTGGACTCTGTGATAAAACCCTACGAGCTTTAGAGAACTCTCTCACAAAATGTTCCCACCGCTCCCTCCCACACCAGGGCACGAAGGAATCAATAATTAGATTTAATTCTGCTTGTCAAATGGGCGGGATCGTGGTTGGAAATCCAGCTGCTGGTGTTGCACCTACACAGTATTAATGTTTTTGGGGGTGATTGTGGGGTTATTTTAGGGGGGTGTCTAATGCTGGAATGTTCCCAGAGGCTCTGCTGGGATCTGGTGTGATTTCGGCATCTGATGTGTCAACCCAAATGATAAAAATAAGTCCCCAGAAATGACATTTAGGGATCAGCAAGAGGGATGTTGTTGCTCATCAGAGGGAGTGAGGAACAGCCAAGTCTGGCCACAGGTGGGGGCCACCCTGGGGGGACCCCTGAGCACCCTGAGTGTGGGGATGGGTGACGAGGTGGCGTTGGGTCACAGGTTGGACTGGATGATCTTGGAGGTCTTTTCCAACCCGGTTGTTCCTGTGATTCTGTGACTCTGTGATTCTGTGACTCTCTGACTGTGGTTCTGTGACTCTGTGACTGTATCTCTGTGTCTCTGTCTCTCTGTCCCTGTGGCCCCGTGTCCGTGTATCTGTCCCTGTGTCTGTCCCTGTGTCCCTGTGTCCGTGTATCTGTCCCTGTGTCTGTCCCTGTGTCTCTGTCTTTGTCTCTCTGTCCCTGTGTCCCTGTGTCTGTCCCCGTCTTTCTGTCTCTGTCTCTCTGTCCCTGTGTCTGTCTCTCTGACCCTGTGTCCCTGTGTCTGTGTCTGTCCCTGTGTCTGTCCCTGTGTCTCTGTCTCTCTGTCCCTGTGTCCCTTTGTCTCTGTATCTCTGTGTCTGTCCCTGTCCCCGTGTCCCTGTCCCTGTGTCCCTGTGTCTGTCCCCGTGTCTCTGTCTCTCTGTCCCTGTGTCTGTCCCCGTGTCTCTGTCTCTCTGTCCCTGTGTCCCTGTGTCTGTCCCCGTGTCTCTGTCTCTCTATCCCTGTGTCTCTGTCTCTCTGTCCCTGTGTCCCCGTGTCTGTCCCTGTGTCTGTCCCCGTGTCTCTGTCTCTGTCCCTGTGTCTCTGTGTCTGTCCCTGTGTCTGTCCCCGTGTCTGTCCCCGTGTCTCTGTCTCTGTCCCTGTGTCCCTGTGTCTGTCCCCGTGTCTGTCCCCGTGTCCCTGTGTCTGTCCCCGTGTCTGTCCCCGTGTCTCTCCGACTCCGCGGTGCCGTGTGGCGGGTGGGCCCCACCGCGCGGCGTGGCCGCTTTAAGCCGCGCGCGGGGCCGGGGCGGGGCGCGCGCGGCGGTGACGTCAGGCGGCCGCCCGGCCCCGGGCCCCTCACGCCGCCCGGGCCCAGCCCCGGCCCCGCGCCCGCGATGCCGCGGGTCTACATCGGCCGCCTCAGCTACCAGGCACGGGAGCGGGACGTGGAGCGCTTCTTCAAGGGCTACGGCAAGATCCTCGAGGTGGACCTCAAGAACGGGTGAGGCCCGGCCGCGAGGGGCGTGAGGGGGGCACGGGCCGCTGGGTGTCGGGGTGATGGTGTGTGGGGGGCAGAGGGGAGGGGGGGTTACGACGGGTGGGCTCGCCCGTTTTGAGGGGGGCGTGAGGCCTGGGGTCCTTCTGGGGGGTGGCAGAGCGGCTGGGCCTGCGTTTGGGGAGGGGGCAGGACGGGTGGGCTCCCTCGTTGTGGGGGGGCAGGACCGCTGGGTTCCCCCTGCGAGAGGGGGCAGGACGCCCGGGTCTTTACGGGGGAGTGGGACAGGACATCTGGTTTACTCCTTTTGGTGGGGGGGCGTGAGGCCTGGGCCTCTTTTGGGGAGGACAGGCCCCCTGGATCTTTGCTGGGCAGGGGGATAGGACGCCCGTGTTTCCATGGCAACTGGGAGGCAGGAGGCCTGGGTTCCACACCGTCCCCGGGCCTTTCCTGGCGGAACAGGGCTCTTGGGCAGGACGGTTGGGGGTCCGTTTTGGGGGTGGAGGCAGGAGGGCTGAGCCTGTGTTTGAGGAGGGGGCAGGACCCCTGGGTTCCTCTTTTGAAGAGGGGCAGGACGGCTGGGTTGTCCCTTTAGTGAGGGGGCTGTTTTGGGGCGGGACAGGATGCTTAGGTTTCCCATATGGGGGAGGGACAGGACGCCTGTGTTTCGATGGCAGCTGGGAGGCAGGAGGCCTGGGTTGTCCTTTGGGGAGGGGGGACACGATGCCTGGGCCTTTATTACAGGGAGCAGGACTCTTGGGCTTCCTGTTTTATGGGGGGCAAGACACCTGGGCCTCTGTTGGAGGGCTCCCCCTTTCTGGGACCCAGGACGGCTGGGCCTCTGTGGGGACTGGAGGAAGGTGCCTGAGCTCCCCTTTGGGTGGGGGTGAGGGGGTCAGGACCCCTGGGTTCCCCTATTTTGGAGGGAGTAGGACCTCTGGGTTCCCCCATTTTGGAGGGGGCAGGACCTCTGTGTTCCCTATTTTTTGTGGGGCAGGACCCCTGGATTCCCCCTTTTGGGAAGGGGCAGGACTCCTGGGTTCCCTCTTTTTTGGGGGGGCAGGGCTCCTGGGTTCCTTCTTTTCTGAGGGGCAGGACTCCTGGGTTCCCCTTTTTTGTGGGGACAGGACCCCTGGGTTTCTGTGACAACTGGGGTGCAGGATATCTGGGTGCCCACCTCAGTTACTGGGGGAAGGGGCAGGTCATCTGTGTCCTGTCCCCTTCTGTAAAGAGGGGGGTGTCACCCCAGGGGTCCCCCCCAGGCCTCTCCGCACCCCAGGATGAGCTCCCAAGGGTGAGCCAGGATAACACACCCCAAAAAAGAACCCCATCGTTTTGGGGGAGTGCAGAGCTGCTCCCAGACCCCCAGGCTGCCAGGGGGTGGGGGTGGGATGTGTCCTGCCCTGTCCCCAAATCCCCCAAACCCGCTGTACCTGTGTGTTCTCACCTGTGCTGTTCCAGCAGCTGAGCCCCCACTGCTGCTCCAGGGGTTGGATCCTGCTCTGACTTCCCGAGACATTCAAGTGTGGATTTTCCAAGGGAAAGCAAATTGCTATTTTTGGTGGTTTTCTTCCCCAACACTCAAAACCTCACAAGTGTTGGAGCCTTTGCTTCTTCCAAGAAACACAACTTGAAGTCTTGCTTAGCAAGGCTGAGTGGAACATGGATTTTATTGTTATATAGCCAGGAGATCCAGGTATTAATTCCACCTTGGAAGTGGAGAACAGGAATTTCTTGTATAACTTAGTCCTTGAGCATTAAAATAAAAGAGGCCCATTAAGTTTTAATGCTGGTTGTGCTGCAGGTTGACATTTAACAGGTTCAGAAGATGAATAAAACCCATTATTAAAGCAAACAAGTGTTCACGTGTCAGTGTTTTCACCCACACAGCCTCAGGTAACGTTGAAGATTAGCTGGAGTATCCAAGTGTGCTGTTTTCCAGTCCCACTGTGTATCCTTGGAAGTGGTTTTTGGGGTGGTCAGTGTTCCTGTTGCTGAGTAAACCTCCAAATTCAATATTTCTGTTTCACAGATGTTGGGGGGGGGGGTTAAAAAAGCCAACTAAACTTTGTTAGCAGATGTAGAACTGCTGATGTGGCAGAGGGACTTGTCTTCCTGCTTTTATTGGAAAACATCTGCTGAGGACCAGCCTGAGGATCCCAGCCCAGCATTTAGGAACAGGGAGGTGCTGTGGGGACAGGAGCTGATTTAGGGCTGTCCTTGAGCAGCCAAAAATTGTGATATCTTATGTGTAAACAGTAACTGGTAGAGAGGGGAGGAGGGCACAGCCTGCCTGTATCCAAAATCCAGGTGCTCTCTGGGGGATGCACTTT